CCGCTGGTCATCACTCCAGTCTGTCCCACCCATCGCTGCTCCTGTCCAGTCTGCCTCGTCGCTGCTGAGTGAGCCGGAGCTCCGGCTCCAGTCACCCAGCATGGCAGTAAGCAAAACTCGCGCTACCTGACGCTGGGATCTTGCGAGTTTTGACTGTTACTCTTGAGCTGCAGGCTGCGGAGCCTGTGGCTCAAGAGGCCGGAAGCAATCTTGGCACAGGTGACGTGATGACGCATCACGTTGCCTGTGTGGGATAAAAGACAGTCGGAGAGGAAGGCCGCAGGGGAACGGAGGACAGATGAGTTAGCTCAATGTTGGGTTGTTGTTTTTCTTCCCCCCCCCCCCACGGTGAACAAATTACAGCGCTCACATAGTTAACTCCCTAAAAAGTTTAGGGAGATAACTATATCAGCCTTGTAGTTCATTTACCGCAGAGCCTCACCCAATGAGGGCCTATTACTACCCACAAATTGAGGGCCTATTACTACCCACCCACAGTTCAGATTTTTAATGTCATCTCCTATAGAAATTAATTGCCCACCCCTGGACTATGTGAACCTTTGTCAGCAAGGTGATGTCTCTGCTTTTTAAGATGCTGTCTAGGTTTGTCATCACTTTCCTCCCAAGAAGCAAGCGTCTTTTAATTTCATGGCTGCTGTCACCATCTGCAGTGATCATGGAGCCCAGGAAAGTAAAATCTGTCACTGCCCATGTCATCCCCTATAGAAATTAATTGCCCACCCCTGGACTATGTGAACCTTTGTCAGCAAGGTGATGTCTCTGCTTTTTAAGATGCTGTCTAGGTTTGTCATCACTTTCCTCCCAAGAAGCAAGCGTCTTTTAATTTCATGGCTGCTGTCACCATCTGCAGTGATCATGGAGCCCAGGAAAGTAAAATCTGTCACTGCCTCCATATCTTCCCCTTCTATTTGCCAGGAGGTCATGGGGCCAGTGGCCATGATCTTAGTATCTTTTACGTTGAGCTTCAGACCATTTTTTTTTTGCACTCTCCTCTTTCACCCTTATTACGAGGTTCTTTAGTTCCTCCTCACTTTCTGCCATCAGAGTGGTATCATCTGCATATCTGAGGTTGTTGTTGATGTTTCTTCCAGCAATCTTAATTCTGGCTTGGGATTCCTCCAGTCGACCCTTTCACATGATTTAGTCTGCATATAAGTTAAATGTGAAAGTTAAATGTAAAAGAGTGAAATACTAACAAATAAATCAGAACTTTTTAATATATAAAGCTTTTCATGTAATCTAAATTTGATTCCAGTTGTAGTTAAATCCAGTTTTTTTCCTTCCAGCTGGGTGTAGTATATGCTACAATGTCCATCATATTGTTTTTAACTTAACCATCCTCTGGATGTCAGTATTTTCACATAGATAAAAACTACATTAGCATGAAAAAGTAGTAGAGCAGCCAAAATACTACGCTGTTCGCCCACTTTACAGAACTATTTAAGTTCTAATGTAATGTGTGGTAGATTCTCAAGAAGACAGGTAACTCAGCTTCGTTTTGCAACATGCATTATACAAAATATCCTCAGTGGAATGTGTCCATCTACTTTTGTTGGAATTTTTTCAAGAACAATGAGAAAAAGCACTCCTCAAACTTCATGCTAGCAGAAAGTAGAAATATAGTACAGTGGTGCCTTGCTTAACGAGCGCCCTGCTGAGCGATTAAATCGCTTAACGAGGGGCTCTGGGCCATCGCTGGAGCATTCGCTCAGCGATGGCCCCTATGGCGTTTTTTTGCTTTGCGATATTCGCTAAGCGATTCACTTAGCGAATATCGCATAACGAAGCGGGGGAGAACAGCTGATCGGCGGTTCCAAAATGGCCGCCGGAAGGTCCGCGCTGCATTTTCGCGCCCTGCCCTGGCTTACCGAGGGCGCGAAAATGGCGGCACTATGGAGGAAGATCGCTTAACAGTGAGTTTTAAAGCCATAGTCACTCCTCAAACTTCATACTAGCAGAAAGTAGAAATATATTATGATTTTATAGTTATGTGGGGAGAGCTAGAGACTGGTTCAGCTGGATCTTTTAGTGTCTTGTAATATCATTAACTGTGGGGTCAGTTTGGAATTCTTGATGGACATTGGTATAGTTGCTGTGATGGCTTATAGACAGTACGTGTAAAAATGGGACTGTATCTTTTCTTGGCTCCATGGTCATTAGCATTCATGTTTCGTTAAGGCCACATCTGTTGTTCAGCAGATACATGGAACAACTAGAAGAGGTCATCTGAGGTTTCAGAGAGCAATGGCACCAGTATGAACATGGCACAGTGTTAGCCTGCTTTTTCATTTGTGTCATGGAAAGTTTTGAGTCACGCTCTGTGATCTGTGTAGGACTGCATGTTGACTAAACAATCACATCCAGACAAAGTGCAAGTAATTACAGTGGTGCCTCGCTTAGCGATGTTAATCCGTGCAGAAAAAAATGCTGCTAAGCGATAACATCGCTAAGCGAAAATAAAAAGCCCATAGAAACACATTAAAACGTGATTAATGCGTTCCTATGGGCTAAAAACCTCACCTTTAAGCAAAGATCCTCCATAGGGGCGGCCATTTTCGGTGCCTCTTAAGCGAGGAAACATAGCGGACGGTCATTTTGTTTACCCGGCGGCCATTTTGAAACCGCCGATCAGCTGTGCGAAAATGGGGGCTTTGCGATGATTGCTTCCCTGCGATCATCGCAAAGCGAAATTTCCCCATAGGGACTATTGCAAAGCGATCGCTTCTGTGATGGGAAAAAAATCCATTGCAAAGCGATTTCATCACTGTACGGAGTGATCGCTATGCAAGGCACCACTGTATGTCAGAAGGGGAGGCTGCTTTGTAAAGGGGAGTTGGATCTGTTCTTCACAGGCTTGTATTCTGGCCATGGTAGGAGTTGCACTTTCTTGCTTCTGAATAGGCAAGTAGTAGATGTACCTAGAAATGTCTTCTCCCAGCATTGCAAGCTGCAGCATGTTCTAAAGAATGCTGAGCTTGCCATAGGTAGGTAATTGTTTGTCAACGAAAGATTAAAGAACTGTAACATGCTGTACATGAATCTGCCTCTGAGAAGTGTCTGGAAACTTCAGTTACAGCACCAAATGCAGTGGTACCTTGACTTACAAACTTAATCCATTTTGAAACAAAACAACAATGTCGAAAAGTTCGTAAGTCGAAGTACCATTTTCCGTTGAAATGCATGGGAATGGAATTAATCTGTTCCAGCATTTCAAAAGGGAAAAAGGCAGGTTCAAAGATGTTTGGGCGTTGCTTTGCTGCTTCCGGTACTGGATGCCTTGACTGTGTGAACGGTATCATGAAATCTGATGATTACCAAAGAATTTTGAGGCGCAACGTTGTGTCAGAAAGCTGCGTCTCCACCAGAGGTTATGGGTCTTCCAGCAGGACAATGACCCGAAACACACTTCAAAAAGCACTCAGAAATGGTTACAAACAAAGCGCTGGAGAGTTCTGAAATGGCCAGCAATGAGTCCAGATCTGAATCCCATAGAACAGGTTCACGGCCCCATGCCAGTCTGTGGGATTCCTGGAACTGGGTTGTGGAGATGGATCTCTACCCCTCCCGCTCGCACACACTGTGTTTGTTGCACTCATGGGTGGGCGTGTCGCGCTCACGCACATGAGCGTGACACGCCCCTCCACGAGTGTGACACCCTTCTGTGAGCACAACATGCCCACCTGAGAGCGTGAGGGTGCCCATCCCCCACCCTGCACACAGCCTGCACCCCCAACCACTTCGCGGACCCAAAAAGGTTGGGGACAGCTGCCATAGGACACCTGTGGAGAGATGCCTCTGTGGCAATCCATACAAAATTAGTGCCCTTAAGAAAAAAACACAGCTGTGCTAGGCCAGCACAGATTGCATAAAAAGAGGCAAAAAACAAACAAACCCAACCCTCTTCTGGTTTTTAAAAGTCCATGACACAGAGCAGGAGATACTGTGATTTTGCACAGCTTGCACAAGTTACACAATTTGCATTAAACCAACAAATTGATAGCATTGAAAAATAATTTCTTCGTCTTGTGGGGTGAAGAGAAGAAAAATCAGTTCCTTGTCCTTGCCTGTGAGGATGTGGCGAGCAAGGTCTTACAGTCTCAGCAGGGACACACAACTAGGTGTTCTCTACAACTGTGCCTGTGGGTTGTGTTTCTGTGTTCTAGGAGATTCAGCAGACCCTTTCCTTTGTGAGTGTAGAAGGCATATTAACATACTCTTGCCTACACTCACTTTCTCAAGTGTTATTTCTCTTGATGTTGTTTGCTCTTGATATTTTGCTGCTTTGGGATTTTTATCTTGTGTTGTTAACACAGAATTTGTTTTGTTGCTTTAATAATGTTTGCTTAGATAGCTCCTCTGAAGGCTGTTTTTAGATACAGAACACAAATCATCATGTAAATAAATAAATAAATAAATGCCCTCCCTCCCTTCCCCCCCTCCCCCCACTTTCAGAAGTTTGGCATATCTTGTGTTTATTATGACTCTGCCTTATTTACTATTTTCAAGAATACATACCAGTGTGCTATTCCTGCTATAATGCAGGCTGCTAACTTGTGTGCACCCTACAAGGGAAAGGCCACAAGGGAAAGGGGAAAACTGATGCCCCTCAGTGATTAGATAAGTTTTTGGACAACAGTTTGCTGAATCTCCCTGACAAATGACCATTGGTGGCTCGGGAATTTGGGAGCAGTAGTCCAAAAGGTACTTTTTTCTCAAGGACTGGACGAAGCCTTATTATAATCTTAAAACTGCGAATTTGGAAGGGACCCTATGGAACATCAAGTCCAGTCCCTGTCAAGGTATCAGAAAGTCCTATAACTCTGCTTAGTAAGATACCAGATCTGCAGCGAATCCCGTTTTCATTGTGTTGTTTTGTTTCACACCATTAATCCATGTAAATATAGCTATGTGATTTTTTAAAAAACAATTATTTTCAATAGGTGGGATCCTAAAAGAAATTTTGAAGCTCTCCAAAAAATTTAAAGCCATTATACCTGTGAGGTCCACAGAGGACAGTCTTGTGTTACTAGATCCTTCAGTTCCATTTTTTTGGCAAAGGAATATGCAGTACTTTGGGTAAGTCTCTAAAACAAAGGAGGAACAAAGAGTAGCCTACAGTGAATAGGTATGTGTAAATTTGGTTTCCCTTGATTACTCAGCTTCTGATGCCAAAACCTTTGATTAGTAGTTCAGTATTGAAAAATTGTATTGGTTGCCTCCCTAGCAAAACCTGACATTTCACAGGAATCAAATAGTAATTGCATATTGTCATTTTCACAATTTTGTTGTTGCTGTTCTTGATATTGCCCATTACATTGAATAAGTGTATTTCATCGAGCTGATTATTGACAAAAATATTAACATTTTGTAGAAGAATTAGCCATCGTTTTATGTACTTGTGTGTCATCAAGTTACTTGCATCATATAGTGACTATAATAGGTTTTTTGAGATATGTGAGACATTTAAAGACTGGTTTGCCACTGTTACTGTTCTGAAATTAGTGCTTCTCATTTTTAATGTACTGTATTTTTCCATGTATAAGATGCTACTTTTTCCTAAAATCATTACACTAAAAATTGAGGGGTGTCATATACACAGAAGTAAGCTGAGGAGAGAACAAAACTGCCCGTACCTTATCGCTATAAACAGACTTCCTTCAGTCACAAGGCTTGGCTTCCACCTCTATAAACGGACTTCCTTCAGTCACAAGGCTTGGCTTCCTACAGTCAGGAGACTTCGCTTCCTTCAATCACAAATCTTATGGAACTGATGTCAGCTCATACTGAATAAACCAATTGGCACACACCTTGTTGGAGATGGAGCCTGTAGGCTCAGATGCAACAGGGACTTGTAATGTCCAAGCGTTCTGAGCCCAGAGGCTGAATACTGAAAGCTAAGATTTCTTAATTTGGGGTTAGAAAAGTGGGGGGTGTCTTATACATGGGGGTGTGTTATACATGGGAAAATATGGTATTTAATTGCTGTTCAATATGACTCACTGGCTGGAATCAAGTGATAACTTGCAACTAGAAGAGACATAGTGGGGGTCAGGTGAGTCAGCTCCTCCATAAGTTCTATTGATTCAATGGGCCAACTCTAGTTTTGACTCACAATTGAATTTCTGCCACTGTTTTTAATTGTGTCTATTTTTCTACCATGTGCAAACTTCTTTGGATGTGTTCATTGGGAGAAAAGTCGCATAGAAATGGAATAAATCAGTAGTCAGAACTGGGCTGATAAAGCATGTCATATAAAGCATCTGCAGTGTGCTCATGGTTGATTTCAGAACACCTGGATACACTTAAAAGGTCATATCAGTCATATTGTTTTGTGTGCTAGGTGTAAACACTGTTCAGATCCAAAGCCAATGTCAAGCCTGAGCTCCCTTGCTGCAGAAGAAGACCCATCATGGAATTCTATGGCAATAGCCCAAGGTTGGCTTATCCTTTTCTACCTTTCATTAGTATTACAGTTTCATTTAGATACCTGTGTAACTGGAGACGGTTGAAGGTTCCCAACCTCTGCTCCAGATGGTGAGATTATAGCAGTGCCTTAGTACAGCACACTTAGAGAATGCATTGTCTCCCATTCAGCAATCGCCCTTTTAGGGGCTTTGAATTTGAGCAGACAAAAGAAGTTCTGCCTTCTTTCCTGCACTCATTTTGTTCTCTTGAATGCAGTGCATCCTTGAAAATAATACATCAGAGTGACACACACAGGAGCTTTCTGTTGCCCTTCTGCAAAACTCTGTAAATGACAGCAACAAAAATGAAATTAGAAAGGTGTATGCAAAATTTGTCCTTTCCTCCTCCCTCGCCTGCCAAGACAGGACCACTGTTTTCTCATGAAAGCTGGAGGTGACTTTGCAGAACTCCAGTTTGCAGGCACATTTGAGAAATGTTTGCCTTATATTAACATGGGAGATGGGTGAAGTTTCATTCTTTCACAATTAAAAAGCCCAAACCTTGCTACATCTTTCAACAGTAAGCTTTGTTTCAGCTAAAACTGTATATGAGAACTGTATTGTATTATGTAGCCCAGGTCTCAGGGAGAATTCTGGCCTGGAGTCAGGGCAGAGCAGCCAAGGCACTGCTTAAAGTGACTGGCGAGATTGGGGTGAGGGAGTAGGGTAGACTGTTGTTGAAGACAGAAGGAAACAAAACTAGATATGCAGTCTTCTGAACAGTTTTTCACCAAAATGCTAGGAAACTCAGCAGGAATTTTTGTCACCAACAAAATCAGTGGGAAGCTGGACTAAAGAAGCATGAGTGTCTGGCAGTGTATGTCTTCATTAAGCTCTGCATTAAGAAATTAAGCCATGCACTATAAATGGATGGTGCAAAGTGTTAGTAGGGGGTTAGTATGATACATGGGGGGGCAGGATCCTCTACAGGAAATTATTGGTTCTTCTTCATGGCCTCTGTGAATCCACACAAATGGGTTTTGCTGTGTCTGTGCAGGACTTCTCGGAATATTCTAGAGCTGAAAAAACATGTTAGTAGCACGTTGGTTACAGGTAACTAACCTTTTTTTACTGAAGAACCAGTAGCATTTTGCCCACTGACTTCATTAGAAATCCAACTGGGCACAACAAAATGGATTCATTGTATGATGCCAAAGCTGCAGTTGCATAGCAGTCAGTTATTAAAAAGGTTTTTTTTATATCCTACTCCTACACTAGATTAAAACTACTGAGGCCATCTTATGTGTGAGTGCTTTGGAGCAGCTTCCACAGATATTTATTTTAATAAAGAACATTATGAAATAATTGCTTGTATTTCAGGTAGATAAGCAAGACTGTACTTAATACACTTCTGTTAATTTACATGGCTATACCTACAGCATGGTGTCACTTAGATAAATTGTGTGTATCATTCTGCAATGTAGTTGTGCACAAGTAGTGTGCTCTTTTCCCCTCGGCTGAGAGCTCTTCATTTACCCTGTGACCACCTGCCATGCAGTCCCCCAATTTCTGCAGCCCCCTAAGTCCATACATTTGATTTTAAAGGGGGGAGGAAGAGACCCAGAAGAATCATGACTCCAGAGACTCAGTATTCCTTTTTCAACTTTCCCATATGCAAGGTGATTTTTTAAGCAGTTATGACTTCACAATTAAATAAGAAGTGAGCATCTTAGAAAAAATCCCATAGGGCTCTAACGACAGCAAGGGTGGGAAATCTGCAACCTTAGTCCAGATTCCACATAGCCCTCAACCTGATTTCACATGGCCTCTGCAACTGACTTGTACAAGATCTCTGACAAAAATGATCTGTTTCTTTCCCAACCATTTGCTGGCAGGGAAGAAATGAGGCAGAAAAGTAAAAAAAAGTGGAGGCCTCAATTACTTTGGCCCTGACCCCAGTGTGTACTGCATAATAGATTATCCTCAGGGAGGTGTATGTACTTTTTACCAAAGAAAAGGTTGATCATCCCCATTTATCAGCAGTGACAAATCAGAAGACTGGAATGTGTTTATCTTTTCTGTCTCTCAAATTGTATTTTAAAATGTGGAACTTTAATTTTATTGCCCTTAGTTACTGAATAATCTCTGAATATCTATGCTGTTTTCTTTAGCTTTAGGAGTTGTACCCCTCCAATATGTCTTTGTGATGAAGTTTGTGCTGGATGATGGAACTGGAACACTGGATGTGTATCTTATGGACTGTGTAAGAGACGAGAGCATGCTGCTCTTAAAATATTTAGCTTGGAATGTAAATGTGTGCTGGTAGAAGTTCTCTAACATAGTAGAGAAGATAGAAAGAACTGTACATTTATCAAAAATGCATTGGTTAACTATGTGTAAAATTGGTCAGAACAGACGTATCCCAACCTTTAATTTTAATGAAAATTACAAGTACTGTATGTTACATTGCTTCATGAGAGCTGGCCTGGAGGTTAGCACCATTATTAAGAATGACTGTGGGTATATAGGCAGAAGGTCCCCAGGTTCAAATCTCTGTAATTTCTGAGTAGACCTGGGAAAGAATTCTGCCTGAGAGGCTAGAACACCATCTGTAGACAGTGTTGACAAAACTGAGTTGGACAGACTAATAGTCTGATGTGACACAAATCAGCTTCCTTTGTGAAGCACTTTCTACCAACCTCTCTGCCAGCTGCAGCTTCTAGGGCCTGGCTATATTCTTGCTGGATAGTTGCTTTGCCTGATACTTGAACTCCAGTTGCTGTAGCTAGCATTCACCATTTTAATTCTTCCCCAGTGCATATATGGCCTCAGAGAATTCTGGAATTACAGTGGTGCCCCGCATAGCAACAATCTGTTCCGAAAAAAATCGTCGCTATACGGATTTGTCGCTATGCGGGGCAAAAAAGCCCATAGGAACGCATTAAAAGACATTTAATGCATTTCTATGGGCAAAAATCTCACCGTTCTGTGGAAATCCTCCATGCGGCTGCCATTTTCGCTGCCTGGTAAGTGAGGAAAGGGCGCGAAAACACTGCGGGCAGCCATTGTCTTTACCCACTGGCCATTTTGGAACCGCCGATCAGCTGTTTTTAAAACATCGCTATGCGAAAATCGGTAAGCAAAACACTTACTGATCATCGCAAAGCAATGTTTTACCATCTAAAACATCGTTATGTGATTGCTTTTGTGATCGCAAAAACTCAATCGCTATGCGGATTCGTTGTTAAACTAATCACTCATTATGCGGGGCACCACTATACGTTGTTCTAGTGTTACAATACAGAAGCATTGTAAGGAAATGATGGGTACCACCTTGCCATTAACTCCTATCTTCTGTCTGCTATTACTTTGCCTGCCTGCCACTATAATCCCTACACTGAGGACAAAAGCAACCCATTGCACATACCAGTGTGGGTGAGAACGCCCACCCCACCAAGTGGGAGAGATTCACTGAGAAGTTGTCCTGAGAGTCATTACTTTAATGTTGCTCTCAGTGAATTTACATTGACCATCTGAGAGGAAGGCTGTTTTGAAAGATGGATGCTAGAAAGTCTCACCACAAATTAAAAAAATAAAGGAACGGAAGAAAAGAGGTTACTTACCTGTAATTTAGATTTAGAAGAACGCATAATAAATACCTTTGCTTTCTCCCCCCCCCCCAGTTAAAGTTGGAGTTTTCAGACAAAACCTGGGATTGTATGAACATTTTTACCATATTTGGGAGTGTGGAATCTCTAATTAGAGGTTTAAGCAACACTAAACCACAATAAAGGAGATAGACAAACTGACTGACTCACTATTCTTTCTTTTTGTGTTCACTGCTTTTGTCTACATTTCTGAACTAGGATAAAGGCAGGTAGGAGAGCCCCCACCCACCAACCCATAAATAATGTTTAAGTAGAATTCAGAAGTCTTGTAAATTGGAGGGGAAAGGTAAACTAAGAAGCTGTCCACACTGAGCATTTGTTCAATTTCCCTTGTACCCATGATACAGGTACTAAACCTGGTGTCCACACAATGCAGGGCTGAAACTCATGTCAACAAAGTCAACGTAGGCAAAACGCGTTGCTTTCCAGTTTTTTTATAATGCTAGATGGAGTGATATACTTTTGTTCTGTTCTGATTTACTCCAAAGCATGATCCAAAGTGTTCCATGCTAGTCAGCACATATTATCAGGATATGTCATTTGATCATGTTTCCTTACAAGCGTTCTTCTGCCCCATCATACCCTGTAGATGGTTAAAACAAGGAGGGAAGGGAGAACAGAGAGAAGTCGGCAGGGAAAGGGTAGATAAGGTAGGCAATAGGGGAAGAGAAATCTGTGTTGAGAATGAGACATTGGGAAACAATCTCAGATGTATTTGGGTCAATGTCACCAGATGGCCTAGTACATCCCAATACATTCAGCAACAAATACCCATCGCAGGTGTGGATGCAAATACTGGGACATCTGTTCAGATCTGCAATAAAAATGTCAGAGTAAGTGAGAACAGCAAATATAGGCACACACAAATGAAAAAAAAACTTGTTTATTTCTCATGAATTTCAATTAGGTCACTATACATTGAGTCTCACAAGATACCCAGCATTAGTACTAGATCCATATAGAGTCCATATTTAGATTATAGTTAAATTAGTCGTGATTGACTTGTCCCATTGATTTCAGTGGGACTATTCTTAAACAGAATATATCTTGATTCAGCCCATGTTCTCATCCACAGAAAATACTTAAAATCAGAAATCTTCAGTTACACATCATTAGTAAAACTAGATGGTGATTCATGCTGCTCGTACTGAGTTGCCCTTCCTGGTACCCATAATATTTGTCATTAACTCAAATGTGATTGCTTGAAGACTAGCACACCAGCCAGAATCCTTTTTGTTTTGGCGTAATGTAACATTGTCTCTGTATAAATGAGCCAGATGTTATACCTGGGCAACAAGGATTGTGCAATTCAATTGTGCAATTGGTTGTGTAGTTCCTATTGTGACTGATTGTGCAGGGAAATGCTTTGAGAATAACACTTCTGCATTGGCGTAATTGCAGCTACTGCATACATAACATTAAGTGCCACATACATAAACTACTCAATAGGATTTCAGTCATTAGTACAGTATTCTTTATTAAAGAGTACTTTGTGGGCTAACTGTATGTCAGTAGTAGATATTGCTCGCCATATAGTTGAGGTTTATATTGATATTAAGATCTTGTGTGGATAAAAGTGATATATTACTTATCTATGAATTCTTAGTGAAGATACTTTAGTTAATCTAGTTCATTTTTGATAAAACTCAAATTCATAGTGGACTGCAATGCTGCGGATTGCTTTCATACAGAGGCTTGATTTACTTTGGTTAACTTATCAATCTGAATAAAGAGCACATTGCATTAAAGATGTTTATGTTTAAACATCACCAAAATCTTACGATGGGGGCTGATAAAATTGCAAAAGTGCCCTTTAAACAGTGAGGATTTACTTTGTTAATAAGCAATATTGTTCATTTTATTTTATTTTTTACCTATGTGTTTTAAACGATATTAAAGCAGTATTTTGTTTTGTTATCTTAAATATTCAGTTTCAAAACGAGACCTTTAGAATATGTCTGTCGTCCAATTTGGTAATTAATTTGTGCTATTTTTCCTATTGCCTGCAGGATAAATTCTTCCAAATTCCAGCTTCTGAAGTCCTGATCAATAATATTTTTCAAGAGAACATGGAGAGGATGATGAGTAAGCTCTGTCCTACAGGAAAAGATCTAGGTAAGACACTTGTTTTGAGCAGAGAACAAATTAAGATATGCAGACATTAGCCAAAATAGCAACAGGATGAAGTAATGCCATCTTTTTGCATCAGTTTGCAGAACCACTAGAGCACTTACTCAGGGTTTCATCTGAACAGTGACAAATGGTATAGAAAACATCTGAAGTAAAAAACATAGCTATACTACACAGTTACAGCTTTAACTAGTATGGCTCCATCCCATTTGTAGTATGTGAGTGCTTAGAATTCACTCTGGGAGTGTCATCATTCTAGTGCTGTGTAGAGCACACTATAGTACATTAGAGGGCTCTAGCAGAAAATTGCTTCTCCAGAATACAAATCCCAACATTCCATAAGATGAATCCACAGCTATTAAAGTTGCATGAAACTACAGGAGGACCTAGTGTAGCAGATAGAGTATTGGCATAAGGAGACCTGGATTCAAATGTGTGCTTGGCTGTGGAAATTCACTGAGGCATGACAATGGTAACATTGTTGCTTAATGTAAGTCATCCACCAAGCTAAACAATTTCTAGGTGACTAAGATACGTGGTGATTGTTTTCTGTCAGATATTTTTATTGCATTGTGACTGATTGAACTTTCCTCCTGAATTACCTTGAACTTTAGCGTAAATCAAATTGTTTTACTTGTCTTACATAAGAGAATAACAGCAGTAACAAGCAAGTCCAAAGCTACCTGTTTGTTTTTTCCTTCAAACATGTTCCCACCTTGATGGGAAGGTAACAGCATTCTGTGACCACGAAAACTGTCTTTGGACAAAGACAGTTTGGCTTGGAAATGGGGATGAGCACCACGCCCTAGAGTCGGACACGACTGGACCAAATTTCAAGGGGAACCTTCACCTATGTTCACTATAGTAGTATCTATTGAAGATGCTTGAGATTTCTCAGAATAATTAAAATTGTTGGCAGGAGTTGCTTTCAAAACACTTGAGCTCCCTCCACCTTGCCTTTCTCCTGCAACATGCCTTGAAGATTTGGTTTAACTCTTCACTGTTACATGTGAAATCACTGTAATATAGGAATCAGCCAGTAGAGACCACCACCTGTTCATCCAGAAGACAGAAGCAGTGTAGCAAGGAGGTATGGCAGTAGAATGTACTGGCTGCCCATCTTACAGATAGACTATCCTCCATAAAACTAATATTTGAACATTGTCAGTTACTTGGAACTTTTATTTACCTTGAATAAAGAAATGGTGAATCACAGATAGGAAGATGAGAGGACCTTTAGGAGAATAGATCTTTAGCTCACTAGTTCACGTCTTTTTTCTCCTTCCAATGTGATGTTTGCAGTCTTCTGCAGCCATTGCTCCACACAGTGGCAACACACACAAAAAAATAGTGTCAGGATGCCTCAGTCTCCTAGGATTCTCTGTCATAGATCTCAGTGGCTATTGTAGAACTGAGTAATTTGAAGGGGAGATTTCAGAAGGAAACAACAGGATTAAGAGGCAGTCATAAAATCTGTCTATAAACCAACAGCTTGACTGGAGACAGCAATTCCCAGGCACACTACGTGTATTAATAGATTGTATTTATAACAGTTCTGTGTATAGCAAAAGAGACCATGCTGCCTTGAACTAAATGAATAGATTACTGAGAGCAAACATTGCTACTTTAACACCTCTGGGGGCAGTTTAAAGTTTGGCAGCTTAGCAGACTTGTGTATTAGTTAATGGCTTTACTACTATTGCCAGAATAATCACCAGCTCTTTAAAAGTTTATGATTGGTATTAGTAATTGGCTCTTTTGTATCCCACTCTATTCTCATCTCCTAAACAATTCCCACTGTGCATATAAGCCTGTCACTGAATTGAAATCTTTCTGTAATATGGCTACATCTTTGTGAATGGTTCATGTAATCGGTGAGCCAGCAACACAACTCTGAAGTCTAAAGTTTGATTCACTGGAGAACGGGAATAGCCACACCAGTGGGGTCCCCCAGCATTCAACTTGGTGATTGTTTACATGACATTTTGTTCACTCAGAGAGCTTTACTCTCTTGAGAGAGGTGTTAAAGAAGAAGGAAGCATTTTCACAGCTTTGAAAAGTTGTCTTCAGATGAAGTTGCAGATGGTATCCCTTGCTGTCCTTTCAAAGTCACAGATGGCATTACTTAAAATCTTCTATATTTGCTAACCTTTGCATAATTTCCCGAAAACAACTATAAAGCCTGAGTACTTCTGTGCATTCACCAGCTATAGTTGGTCCGATTCGCTGCCAAAATAGTTTAAATATGTCCTTATACTCTACAAGAGTATGAAAGGGTATGTGTGCATTAAAAGTTGTGTTCCCTTTTTCATAGCAAAAGCTAGCTCCTGGCTGCTTCTGTGTTATTGAGCCAGAATAGGTGTGTGAGAACAACCAGAATAGGCAAGATCTCACTTCATGAGTAGAACTGTAAGAAATAGGCTTTGTCCTTCAGGAAGGTAAGTGTTGGATAGAGTCAGCTGCAACTATTAAGATTCATGGATTTCATGCTGAGTTTTCAAAAAACAGGCATATCTCAGACACAAATAAACCCAGGGACATTGATTCCACTTGGCTGTGGTTCCTGTATGAGTGGCATTTTTAGATGGGTAGTGCTTCAGCCAGAAGCCAAGTTGAATTATTTAAAAACTCCCAAGACTGGCTTTTGCTCTAGGAAGAGTGGTGTGAGACCTGTTTGTAAATATGTGAAAGATGCATATATTTCTTGCTGAGCTTGCCTTATACCAAAAGGAAGGCTATATGTTATGCTTTGTCCAAAAGTTCTTCTGCATTCTTTGAAGGATCAGTCACAAACAGAAGATTAAGCTAAATCAAGCCTTTTAAGTGCAGCCATTGTTGCTTCTTTCCCATTTCTAATGCCACAGGAAGGGACATAGGGGGACAGAGTTTGGCAGCTGACCATTCTGAAGAGCAAGGGGTGTTCTACCACTCCTCAGAATCACCATCCAACACAACTAGTTATTGACCAATGTTAGTCTATAGTTTCTGAGGTCCATTTGACAGAAGTCACATTCTGATTCTGGGGCAAACTAGATGAGACAGCAGCTTAGCACTTAGAAGCAGAGCTACCTTAAGAAATATAAGAGACTTGATTATGCTCTAAGAAGGTTTCATGGCTCTGCAAGATTAAAAGTAGCTTACTTTTGTTCCATGATGGTTCATTAGGAGACAAACAAGCTTTTTTTGCATGTTGATTGTGCAAATACAGCACTTTGAAGAAGTTGTCTCTGTAGGCATTTTATCACATAGTTGCCAAGCTGCCATCTAATTTGTTTCAACTGTTGGTTGCCCTTAAGCAAAAATACTCTGGCGCTGTAGTAAAGAACCTTCTTAACTTGAGCTGAGTTAACTCTTCATCACTCTACTGCATTTAATTTCAAGAAACAGAGGAACAGGATTATGTTATGTTTCTGGAGTCGTGTCCATTTCATTATTCCTTATGAGAAGTGCTATACAGATACCATTGTGAAGTATGGTTGTGTAGCATGTATCTTTTTTTTCTCCACAATGTCATTTAGATTATTATTATTATATTAAGTGTTACGATACTGTAAAATATTTTTGTTATGTTACCATTAATTGGGAAATGTAGAAATTCCCCACAAAACTCATAATTTGGTTTTGACTTACAGATGAATTGCCATGGCTGGAATGCTTCATCAAATCTTACTTTGTGAGGGATGAAACTCAAGAACAACTTTGCTATCAGATTTTTGACACTATGATTGCCGAAGATGTCTGAACCACACAGAGAGAGCTACTTGGAACATGCAGTAATGCCTTTCAAAATCTCAAGTACTTCAAGATGCATGTCGTTTTATAAACGGTGGCCTTCTATTAACTGTGTTCTAATATGTCTGCTGTATCTTCTGCTGTTTTGCCTATGAAAAATCTATGCACGTTCATTGAAAGTTCTGGGAATTTCTCCAGGATTAGGTCACACACAGTTACTGGGGTACTTATCAGAAATCTCAGGTCACAGTCCCACTCAGTCTCATCACTGTGTCTTTTAAATATAGCCCTCTTTATTACTAAGGAAATAAGGCCAACATAGTGCCTTGGCCAGTGACCTAGAAGCACTGGGTTCCTAGTCCTGTGCTTGGTTTTGACCTGGTGCACATGGAGAATGCCAGTCATAGAAGAATGCAAGAATGCAGCAGTAAGAAAGGGCCTCTTTAGCAAGCATTCAGCCCTGGCCTTTCAATCTTGCCTTGTGTAGTTGTATAAAATGAATATGCAAATAGGCTTGGGTTCTTCAGTGATACAATTAATTTAATATTTTATGTTTTCATAGTGATGATACTCTTATCACATCTGGGGGGGTATTGAATGTGGCTTTCTGTAATCAGAATATTCCTGCTTGCACTTCTAAGAGCGTGCCCTGTGCAAATCAGATTTTGGACAAAGGCAATGAGGGGATGATTACATTGCAAAAAATCCCAATAGCTTTCAAATGTGTCTTGACAGTACCTTTTACTGTTTCTGCTTACCAGGTCACATTCCAGGCAGCTAAGTATGTTCTTCAAATACACTCCTATTGATCTGCTTTTCTCTTTTGTATAATCTGATTTGGTTTGAGAAATACGGACTTTTAGGCCAGTAAGTCGGCATACTAATTGGCTCCCAGAGGGAAACTAATTACTCAGGCTTTGGTTTTGTTTACGTGCTGTCCAATAGCATTTTTAAAAAATCAAGCACAACACATATTTTTGCAACACTTTAAAACAAATGTTGATTCAGTGATAAAATATATTCATATTGTTCCACGCTTACTGCAACTTCAACTGTAGTCCAACACATGTCAAAATATTTGATACTGTGCTCACAGTTTAATTTATCTCAATGCCGATCATGTTGTTTAGGGGGTATTAATATATTATTCTCTTGATATTGCTAGTGGACATTTGTCTGTTTTTCTGTTCTACCTCAACTTTTAACAGAAAATCCACAGTGCTTTGCCAGTGACTGTGGGAAGAATCTCATCAGATTCTGTTAGCTTGCAAAGTGAAAAGCATTGTTTCTCAAATTCGGTAGCCAAGGTGCTTCTCAGGAAATATGACTCTTGCAATAAAGTCTCATGGCAGTGACTTATCAGCATTATGAGATCAGCATAAATCTTAAAAATTACAACTTAACCAGTGGTGTCTTAAAAGGAACTGGTTTACAGTCCAGTCCTGATGCAAACATGTAATCCCATTGATTTCAACAGGATTAATGCTTAGCTAGGATTTGGATTAGTCAAGGGCCACAGTCCCAAATTCATGCAAGCCTAGATAGTCTTATCACTCGTGAAAGAATTACTATGAACCTGATTAAAGCTTTCACACAACATTCTTGAATATTAAAGACTGTGTTGCAAATCTCCACAACCATAACAGCAATTGTGTGTGCAAACAGGATCATTTGAGTAAAGTTTTAGTGCACAAATTATGTCTGTGGAATCTATATTCTGTGTTTTGCAGCATATGCTTTATAATTTAAATAGGATTGAAGATTGATTGTAACTCTACGACAACATGTGCACTGTATTGTACTTACCTTTATATACTGGCATTTGATATTATAAAATCTCAGAAATCAAGAGGAATTATATTAATAAAACAAATTTAAAAGCATTATTCATCATATTGCATGAGCTAGAGTTACTGTGTAATGCAACTGATAATTTGCCAGATTATGTTTGACATATTATAGAGGGTAAGACTTGGATGTGTCAGGATATTTAATATTGTAAATATATGTTGAATGTAGTTTAATCCTCAGTTCCTGATTTTGCATGATCCTTCTGGTATCCCAGACTTATAAATTTTTAGTTGCTTCTGTAAAACAGCCTCCAGACTACTGGAGGTAGTCATTAAAGTGGAAGAATTTTGTGTAAGATGAGGTAAACAGATGTCTGAACCCTCCCTAAGAGTCCTACAAAACTTTATAGATCTTCAGAGGAAAAATCAGAGGACTGTGTTCATCACAGTTGGTGTTATCCCAAAAAGTGGTTGACTGCAGAATGAAACCAATCACTGACAGTCATATCAACCTTCATCTGAGTATCAAGGTAGAAGTGTTTTCATTGTTGCAGTAATTCCAGGCAACATCTGATTGTTCAATTCTACAAGCTTTATTTATCTACATTGCTTCTATGTTCCATATGCAGACCATACTTCAGTCTTGTTGTAAAAGATAGAGGTCTTACAGCTATGAAGAACACTTTGGCAAATACTTTTTTAAAAAAATTCTTCCTTGCAGCTTGTAAAAAGATGCAGGTGTTAAAACTTAAGCTATAGGCAGAACATAAGTTATGTTTGAATCCAAAATACGGGAGCAAAAGTACAATAAATTATCAAAAACATACGTTACATTTTTCCTGGAAAGAAAAAACAAGAAACCGGGCCTTCTCGGCAGTGGCTCCTCATCTTTGGAATAGCCTCCCTCCTGAGATTCGCATGGCCCCTTGAAATGCCAATTGAAAACCTGGCTGTTTAAGCAAGCCTTCCCTCCATCCACCATCTGAATTTTTGTTATCTTGTTCTTTTCTTCCATCTTGGATCATTGTTTACTTAGTAATATATTGTTATGATTTTAAATTGTTATATGATATGTTGTTAGCTGCCCAGAATAGTCTATATGACTAGATGGGCAGGCTATAAATGTAATCAATCAATCAATAAAAATAAATAAATTCTAAAAATGCAAGGGCTTGTAGCATTAAAGGGCACATTTCAAAAGCAAAAAACAGACTACATATCACAAAATATTAAAGTTCTTAAAAGTAAAAAGCCTTATAACTCTTAAGTAATCTTTAGTCTTAGTTAGAAAGCATGGAAAGATATCAAAGTTGTTAAAGCAAATATATATATAAAGTTAATGACTTTCTAAGCCTCTAAGTATATTAATTAATAACCAAGGCAAGGATGTTTGTGATCTAAAAATGTCAATAATATACAAGTATCTATGACCTTAAAATTGTGTAAATATGACCAATTAATCCAAAAATAGGACTTCACCTTTTTTTCTGAAATTAGTACCCATTTTTAAACATTGGTGCTTACAAACATAAAAATTAAAAGTTGCATTTTTCACTTCCACTGTAGAAGCACTAATATTGAAGGAATCAAATGAACATTTTGAGAGTGAAATGGTCATACATGGGTTTGTTTTCATTAACAGCAGAATTGCATTGGATGATCACATGCATCTTGAGGTTATCAAAATAAAAACTCTTTCTGTTGTCTGTCAGTAAATTGGTACCTCGACTTACGAACGTCTCCATTTGCAAATGTTTTGAGTTACGAATGGCTCCGTTCGCAAAATGTTGCTTCAACTTGCAAACGGAGCCTCGAATTATGAACGAAAAAAATGAAAAAAAAACTTTCCTGCCCTTTTTTTGACCTAAGTTCATCTTAGGTCAAAAGAAGAAAAATTTTAAAAAATCTCCCCCTGGTGGTAGAGTACGGGTTAACCGGCTTTGCATTAGTTCCTATGACAACTAATGCCTCTACCTACGAACAGCACCTCGAAAAACAGCCTGAACGGATTAAATGGTTTTCAATGGATTCCTATGGGAAATCTTGCCTCGACTTACAAACTTTTCGACGTACGAACGCCGTTCCAATACGGATTAAGTTCATAAATTGAGGTACCAACTATATCTGTTGTATCTGTTGAAATTCCATTCAGCATCACAAGAGGGCTATAGCAGTGGTCCCCAAACTTGGGCCTCCAGATGTTCTTGGGACTTCAGCTTCCTGAAATCCTGGCCAGCAGAGGTGGTGGTGAAGGCTTCTGGGAGTTGTAGTCCAAGAACATCTGGAGGCCCAAAGTTGGGAACCGCTGGGCTATAGCAACAAATTTGAAAGCAGCCAAATCATCTGGAGAAAATTATGGCTCAAAGTCATCAAGTGTTGCTTCAAATCCATTTAGGATGTTACTTATTTTGCAAAGTGTTGAATAACCCAAATTAGATTGCAGCACCCTTTGCAGTTCATCACCACTTTTTTTAGCCATGTTCCCCTTTGCTCGCTTTAAATCACCCTCAGTTTGTTTCACAGTTTTCACTGCATCACTAAGTTCCATTTCTACAGTTTCTAGGTGGGTGATTGTTCTTGATAATCCACTGAATTTAGATTTTATATATGTCACATTTCGAACCATGGTTTCAGAATCTTGCACAATCTGATGGAGGAAGATTCACAACAGTCAAATTCTTTAACTGTCCGCTGCAAGGAATCATGTTTTGTGGAATAATATGTAACTGCATTCAGCCATGTCCCCCAGCACACTTGGGGAGGGAGATCCAAAGTAGGAGCAGTTTCTTTGAACTTCTCTTTTCAAAGTGAATCTTTAATGAATATTTTCCCCATTTGAAATTATTTTATCTACATCAGGATAGTTGCTTTGAATCGCTTCGGCCACACATACGTCATGTGATATGGATCATTCGGATAAGGATATGTAAGTCTCTTGGCTGCCTTACTCATGTATGGAGCAGCATCTGTTACAAAGAAGAAGATGTTCCCCCTCTTTAGACCATCCAGCCAGAGTAGTTTCATAGAATTGTGAAAGAGCAGAGCAATAGTAGAATTGTTTACTTTTTGTAGAGTTTCACATGTTAAAAGAAGTACTTCACCAGGCTTGTCACATTTCAGAGTGCCAATAATAATCAGCTACATATTTTCTTTTACATCATTGGTTTCACCTATTGAAATCTATATCTTATTTTTGTCAACAGCTGATCTTATCTTTCCTAACACATCTTCATAGCAGGGAGAGATGTAATTTTTCCTCGAAGTTGATTCATTTGGAATCTAGTGACTTGTGTACTTCTCCAAGAAATGTCTGAGACTACAGTACCTAATTTCTGTAAGGGAATATTTGAAGTAACCATCATTGTACAGAGATCCTTACAAAATTCTGACTGGGTGTTTGATGAACCTACAGTTGAAGAAGCTCTCTGAAAAAGGAGATATTGTCTGTTCTCAGTGAAGATAAATCTTGCTAAACAACTCGTACATTTCACAATACGTAATGTTGTTGAATATTAAAACACTTTTTGGCCAACACCTTAGCTTTACACAATTTACAGAACAAAATATCACCATCACTACTGAAATTCTGCTCCCCAAACTTGAACAAGTATTTTATACTCAAACATCTACATTTAGGTACATCGAAATCATCAGGAGTGTTGCCAACCATCAACCATCAAATTATGTAACGCTTCTTACAAAATTAAGCAGAAATATAACAGTTTTAAAGGGTCAAAATATGACTTGCGAGGGAAAATAAAAACCATGTAGTTCTCACCAGATTATTCATAAACATGTTTTTATTTTTTAAAAATCCAAATAAAGGTCACACAAGAAACATGACATGTCATAGAAATCCTCACCCTATTAACACAGAGAAAAATAATACATTTTCTAAATGTTCATCCAGCCATCTACCAATTAAAATCTATGGAGGGAAATCCATTATTTCTGTGTCTTCTCTCTGCACTGTTACATTTTCTTTTTCTCTCCCCCCCCCCTCGATCTTCAGTTCAGTTTGGCTTGCCTCCGCTACATGATGTCAATTTTGTTCACATCTAGTGTGTGGCATAATGTGAAGCGTTGTTAATTTGACTGTGGCACTCATATTCATTGTGTGTGACCCATCTCCCTGTATTTATAGCTCTTACCAATAGGTTTCACCTCCACCTATCTATAAACAATCACTTCTCCGGGAATCTGGAGATCCAAGAGCTTGGTACTCCGAAAATAATTTTTCAATGGGAAATTGTATTGTTTCTGGGAGTCTGTAACTCAAAATCTGACAGTCTGCTACTATGGTGGTAACATTTTTGTTATGGCTAAAATGTTGCAGAACCTGGAAGAATAAGATATAGCATAAAGCCTTTGTAACACCAGGAATTTTTAATACTGTACCAAGATTCCAGATCACCAAAATATTTTCACTCTGAAATACTGAAATACTAGACCATAGTGAATTAAAAAATTATAATCACCAAAAGGCTGCACTATAAGACTTACAAATGCCATGTCATATTTATATATGGTAACATAAACATTATGAGATAAACCCATTCACACCTGCCAAGATGCTTATGGTTCAGTGGCCTTGCTCAGCTGTAAAGCTGCCTGATTGTTTTGGTACACCTAAAAATTGTTCTGCAATGACTATGGTGAACTATATTCAAGTCTCAATTTTAAATTTACTTTCATTTTCAGGACTGCTTTTTTCATACCCCCTTAACTGTAGTTTGACATTTTAGAGGCACAATGTTTCAAACTTTAACATCCATTTCCAGGGCATTGACATGCTTCTGGTTGCTGTCTATAGGAAAATGAACTATTTGCAGGACTCATTTTATTGCTTAATCCTTCTGTTGGGGTGTATTGCTGTGGGCATATGTACAATCACTGTCCATTATCAGGATTGGTTGCCCATATTTAAATTAGCATTCATTTCCTCATTCCCGTGCTAATCATTATGCTTTAGGGAATGCATCAATTACTATGGCCAGTACTTTATTGCTAGTCTCAACTAGAAAGTAAACCCATTGAATCAATTGTTGACTGGGAAGAACAGTTATGTAAATTGGGCTGAGTCAACTGGTCTG